TGCTCTAAGATGTCAAATTGCCACATCAGCCATCAAATTTAAATTTGATGTTTGGTATTTGACATCTCCCTTGGAGATGCTTAGGATGTCAAAAATAACATCTCAACCTCCAGCCTTCATTCCACATCAGCTTTGACACATCAGTTGGAGTGATGTGAGATGTTATTTCTAGCCATTAAATGTCTATGTGGCACTTTTGACACATCGGTTGGAGATGCTCTAATATAAATATTTTTGCTACTTAATTTGCACATGGCACGGAAAAGAGGTGGGTTACTTTACTTTTGTTCTAAAATTCTCCATTTTGCCCCTATAAGGAAAACCAAAAAATAGATTACAAAAACTTGAAAAAATGGAAACCCGAGCTGGCTTGGAAATCTCCTAGTCCTGCTCGGATTTGGAAACACTAACCGACAAAGCTCATGTATAAATAGAGAATTGGCCCCTTCGCAAATCACAGTAAACACACTCTCTTCCTTTCATCATCATCACTGTGAGAAAATCAAAACAGTGATTTTGAAACAAGTTAGGGTTTGAATATTGTAGAGATGGGGGCACGATTGATCTTCCGTTCTTCTACGGAGAAGGAATTGGACTTTCTTCAACTAAGGCAGCAACTCAAACAACGCATCAGAAACAATCATGCCAAGGAGGTGGTGGTGTCTGTTCGTGACTGCTCGATTCATGAGAAGAACAAGTTGCCTTGTGACAACTTCGGATCCTTCTTTGGCCCCTCGCAACATGCCATTGCGCAGAGAGTGATTCAAGAAAGCAAAGCTTTAATGCCGGAGTTAAAGGTTTTGGCATCTAGGGTTTTTCGAAATTCCCAAGACCAGGGTAAAAAGAGCCTCAAGATTCCTGTCGATTTGAAACTCAAGTGTAAAAGCATAAAAGAGTCCCGGGATTACACCTTTTTGTTCTCAGACGATGCCGAAATTCCGGAATCTTCCAAAGGAGAATCTGGACTTGGTAAAGATTCTGCACCAAAGCCAAGTGAAGAAAGCAATCCGGGTTTCGGCGGGATAAGAAGAGGTTCTGAGAGAGATTTGAAGACTGTAAGAAAGCAAAATCCGGAAGAGAAAGAGAGGCCAAAGAAGCCTTCTTGTGTGATGAAGGAGAAGGAGAGACATCGTAAGCGCTTTAGGGTGGAGGAGGATGAGGAA